AAATCAATAACTTTTTCTGTTACTATGTGATTTCTGTTACTATGTGTTAATACAAGTTTTAATATTACAGTGTTCATATTTAGCCACATTGGGTGGAAGAGATTTTACATCCAAAACTAACAGGATTTTAAAATATCTTTTAAGAGATGAGGTAGCTTCTAATTACAGTTTTTACGGTAAACGAATGAACAAAAGTCCCTTTTCTTCTTTAACTTGCTGCAGTGCTGTAGTTAGTAAGTATTTCTTTTTATCAAATTTAAAAAAGTTTATTATACAATTGTTATTATACGTTCACTATCCATATAAATTTTATTATGGGCAATGTTAGCTAAAACATATCCAATAAGGTTGTTCTAATGTTATTAAAATTTTATGAATATGCAGTTGCATTAGTCGCTTATCATTTACATTTATATTACATTTCTGAGCTGTTAAATATATAGATAACTAAATAAAACAACTACATGTTTATTAATAACATTAATAACAATTAAAAACATTGACACAGTAATAGATCTTTAGCTAATATCAATTATGACAGTATATTATGAAATTTTCTTTGAATTTTGGTCTCAAAAAATACTCTCTGTATTGCTCATTTCATGTATTAAACTTTTGTTTTTATAGAATCGGTAAAATCAACATCATCTCAGACAGAAAAAGATATTGAAGATGTGATTAAGGTATGGCTTAAACACGCACCTCAGCGTATAAAAAATCGTAATAAAAATAAAGCTCCTGAACATAATAATAATAAAAAATAATAAATTGGTTTTTATAAAGATTAGGTTGTGATCCGTTTTGAGATAGAGTTTTTTGTTTCAAGTTTCTTAGAATTTATTTGTTTTATTCGGTACTTATATTTTAAGTTTTTGTCTACAGAAACATTTATTGTTTTATTTTAATTTTTATATTTGCGTTAAATTTAATACTATTCCTTGAAATATATTCATTAAAATATATTTAGCTTTGCTTTTTTAGATATCAGATAAGTAAAAGATAAGTATATTAATTTATTTTTATACAAAAATGTTTTCAAATAAAAAAATCAAACATAAAAAAACAAAATTAAAACATAATGTAGGCGTGCGACAGTTATATAGGAGAGTCTCAAAAGCTGTAAGTACTATTTTAGATGAAGTAGTGCAAATTGAAGCTAATAATATTAGTGTTAATAATGGTAATATTTCAAATATTAATAATGATGAATGTTCCAATTATAATATTAATAATGATGAACGTTCTAATTATATTAACAATGAATGTTCTAATTGTAATAATTTCTCTGAAGAAGAAAGCTTTACATATACACAAAATGTTACTTCATGTAACTTAGATGTTATTGAAAATATTATTTCCGATATAGATGTATATGATTCCGATAGTAATAGTATAGTTACAAATCCAGTTTTATTATCACGAGATAATCATTCACCTTTGCAAAATGATTTATCTACAAAGCTACAAGACTGGGCAACAAATTATAAAATTTCCCATTCTGCACTCACTAGTCTTTTACATATTCTTTCACCTCATTTCGCAGAATTGCCTCTTCATTCTAGAACATTGCTTCAAACACCTATACATATGCAAAGTAAACAATTGGAAAATGGAGAATATTGTCACATTGGCTTAGCAAATGAATTAAAGAATTTTTTGGCACAAAATACTATGTTCTCAGCTGAGGTGCTTAAAATTGGATTTAATGTTGATGGTTTACCTTTATTTCGTAGTTCAAACATTCAGTTTTGGCCAATTTTAGGAATAGTTAAAAATACCACACAAAATAAACCATTTCCTATTGGAATTTTCTGTGGCACGTCAAAACCAATACCGTTAGAGAAATTTTTAGATGATTTTATAAATGAATTAGTTTATCTATTAAAAGAAGGTATTGAATATTGTAATAAAAAATATCGTTTGGAAATTCACAGCTTTGTATGCGATGCTCCGGCCAAAGCATATTTGAAAATGATTAAGTCACATTGTGGCTATTCCTCATGTGATAAATGTACTGAATCAGGTAATTATGTTCAACGAAAAGTTATTATGAAAAATATTTCGGCTTCAAAACGGACAGACGATTCTTTTAAATTACAGTTGGATAAAGAACATCATATTGGTAAATCACCTTTGTTAAAACTTGAAATAGGTTTAGTTACATCTTTTCCAATTGACTATATGCATTGTGTATGTCTAGGTGTTGTGAGGAAACTTATACATTCTTGGATCGATGGACAACCATTACAAGTAAAACTTTGTAGTAGATCTACAAATATAATATCAGAACGATTAATATCACTAAAGCATTGTATTCCTGCAGAAATTAATAGAAAGCCTAGATCACTGTCAGAGTTGCAAAGATGGAAAGCAACTGAGTTTAGAACATTGTTATTATATACAGGTCCTTTAGTTCTCAAAAATGTGGTTGATAAAGCCATTTACCAGCATTTTTTATTATTGCATTCTGCAATTACAATATTAATTTCTAAAAAGCATATTTCTAAATTTACTTGTGATTTTGCTGGTGAGCTATTAAAAACCTTTGTTAATCATTGCGAGAAAATATACGGATTACAATTTTACGTATATAATATTCATATGCTATCTCATTTGAGTGATGATGCACAAATATTTGGCCCTTTAGATGAATTCTCTGCTTTTGCATTTGAAAATTATTTAGGACAGCTTAAACAAACTATTAAATCTCCTCACAAACCACTTAAACAAATATACCGTCGGTTAAAAGAACTTTCTATTTCCTCTGCTAATAAATATCTTACAACTAAAAGTTTAATAATGTATGAACTAGAACATACTTCTGGACCTTTACCAACAGCTGGTTGTCATTATAAACAATTTAAAAAATTGCGTTTAGAATCTTTTACTTTAACTATTAACTGTTATTCCTCTTCTGATTGTTATTGCCTCACAAATGACAATTTGGTACTGCAAATCCTTAATATTATAGTTGGAACAGAAAATGAAATTTTAATAATTGGTAAATATTTTCTTTCTTATAAGTCTTTTTATTCATATCCTATTGAATCGAAAGATTTATATATTTTTGAAGTAAAAAATTTATCAATACAGAATCATACGAGGTCCTACAAAGATATTATTGCGAAATGTATACTTTTACCAATGGATAAAGTTTTGTTATCTATGCCTTTAATACATTCATTATCAGCTTAATAATTATTATGTTTTTTACTTGAAAACATTCTTGTATAATTAATTTTTTAATAACTTTACATTATAATTCATAATTTTAATTGTTTATTTTATAATAAGATATAAATGTATATATGTTTGTTATAATATATATACAACATAATTTTTTTATAAAAAGATTAATGTATATGTTTGTTATAATATATACAACATTATAATTCATAATTTTAATTGTTTTTTTTATAATAAGATATAAATGTATATATGTTTATATATATATATATTATATATATATATATATATATATATATACAGGGTGGGGCATTTATCTTGAGACAAGATAATATCTCGATTGGAGTCGATTATTTTGAAAAAAGTTTTAGACAAAAGTTGTATGGTTTCAAGGGGGACATAAAATGGTGTCATTAGTTTGATCTTGAAGAGCCATCTGAAGGACACGCGAAGGTCAGCTCCAACTTTTTAAATGGGACACCCTATATGCTTTTGCATATTCTTGTAGCTCATCTCAAGAGCTTTCCAAAACACTATAATTAAGTTAGTTTTCATTAAGTACTTTCCAAGTTATGAGACTTGAAATCATTTTTTAATTTTACATAAACCGTAAAATATCTTGTAAAATATTCATTTTTCGATTATTTTACCTTAATACTTTTATGTACAAAATAATGAGAAAAATCAATTGGTGTAAAGAAAACTCATAGTTGTTTCGAAAAAAAAAATGTAATTTGCAATTAACAATTACATATTTTTTCTTAAAAATAACTATGTCTTTTCTTTACACCAATTGATTCCTCTCATTATTTTGTACATAAAAGTATTAAGGTAAAATAATCGAAAAATGAATATTTTACAAGATATTTTACGGTTTATGTAAAATTAAAAAATGATTTCAAGCCTCATAACTTGGAAAGTACTTAATGAAAACTAACTTAATTATAGTGTTTTGGAAAGCTCTTGAGATGAGCTACAAGAATATGCAAAAGCATATAGGGTGTCCCATTTAAAAAGTTGGAGCTGACCTTCGCGTGTCCTTCAGGTGGCTCTTCAAGATCAAACTAATAACACCATCTTATGTCCCCCTTGAAACCATACAACTTTTGTCTAAAACTTTTTTCAAAATAATCGACTCCAATCGAGATATTATCTTGTCTCAAGATAAATGCCCCACCCTGTATATTATATATATATAATATATGTTTTGTTACAACATATCCATCAGATGTATATGCCAAGTTACATATCAGCAATAAATACATGTGAAATAAATATGTACTATACATTTTTTATCTTGTCCAAAATATTAAAATGACGTCTTTCTTACGTCAGAATAGAGTAAAAAAGGTTATTATAACACGTCATTTTCACGTCTCATTATGACGTCTGTGGGCTGTGACTTATTCCCGTCATTTTTACGTTATTATTACGTATTTATAAAAGGATAACTGACGTTACGACTGACCAAAAATTAACGTGAAAATCACGTGACGTTGCTGCCTGGGTATAGCAACTAATTCATGACGTCCTGTAGTTATCCAACCTACGACGTATTTGCAACGTCATATCTTTTACCAATTATAATATAAATGTCAGAGGTCCATATTCAGAATGCGCTTGTAAAGATATTAGCGCTGTTGCATCATACTCTATCTATCAATCGGTTTGTCTGTCTGTTTCTTATTTGGCTCGTGGTGGAATTTTCGCGCGCTGGATTTCCGACGTCGCGCGGCAGTTTTTTCAGAGGCGCGTTCGTATTCGGTTGCGCCTAAGACGATCAGTGATCTCCCCTTCCCCACCGCCAGGGCGTCGTAATTTTTGAGAGGATTAATTTCCTCAATTATGTGTGAATCCTACAAAAAAGTGCAAATCTCCAACGAAGAAGCAAGCAAGTAAGTAACCTACGATTACGCAAACGCTCACGCGACTTTTAGCCGTGCTGATCGAGTTTGTGTGAATTGTATATTATAACCTTTTCAGAGAAAGGCCGAAGCTGTTCCTAGAGTCCGGGGCCAAAAACGGTTAATAAAAAATAGAAGATTCGTGACCACCAATCAGATTACTTCCCTCCATTTGTGTTATTTCGTGCTGTATTATTTTGTGAGAGAGAAGTAGAGGTAGCCGGTACGAGATTTGCATTTCTACAGAGAAGTAAATGTATATGATTTTATGATTAAATGATATATACTTTAATATTACAACACTTTAAACGTTTCACTATCTTTTCGCGTAAGATTAGAAGTACATGCATATTTAATTGTAATACTGGATATATATATATATATATATATATATATATATATATATATAGTGTATAAAAGTTAGGTATAAATAACTTTTATACAAATAACCAGCATATCCTGCATTGAACATATTTACATATATTTATTATACAATATTTCAATTACAATATATGCAATATATACAATTACAATATATACAATTTATTTAATTATTCACAATTGTATCATTTATTATAATATCTTATTTAATTGAAAATTAGAGTCAAGTTGTATTTATAAGATGCAATGACCACCAATTTATTGAGAGTTCAATTTGTCGAAGAAAACGGGGCGATCAATATTGCTATAATAAGCAGTAATTGGCTAATACCTAAGAAAAGAGAAAGCTTTTGGCCTCCATACAAGAAGCAATACCAATATGAACAATCATTAAAGAAAAATGAAACACCAAACATTGAAACATGGACTCTGCACAAAATTCAAAAAGTTTTATTTACTGAGAAAGGTAAAGATATAAAAATATTAAAAACAAATTTATTAAACTTGTAAAATACTAACTTATAAATTTATTACATTGCACACATAATACGGTCTTATATTGATTATTGTTAAAAAATTTTTGTCTATATTTTATGCAGATAATGATTACCACAAGGCTAAGAAACAATTAGAATTTTGCGAAGAGAATTCAGACATACCGTCTGATTTTGATACAGCACTAAAGAAATTAAACACAATTGATAAGCCACGTAATAGGAAGCGACCTAATCACTATTGTGGAAAATGCGAAGATAGTGATGAACAAAGCGATAGTGAAAAAGAATTATTAAATCATGGTATTAACAAAAAGAAATGCAACAATAAACGTTTATTACGGCCTCCAGTAATTTCATCAGGTAATTATAAAAATTCTTTTACTTTTAAATTAACTTTTAAAATTTATAATAAAACTACAAAGATTCACATATAACGTACAATAATATAAAGGAAAAAATAAGATGATATTTACATTTATTTAGTAAGATTATTTAACATTGCTTAAAGTTATTATACAAATATATATATATATATATATATATATATATATATATATTTGTATAACAACTTTAAGCAATGTTAAATAATCTTAGTAAATAAATATAAAGTAGTATTAATGTATATATATATACACATTAATACTGTTCAATAATTGTAATTCTAGACATAGACTTCAACCATTATTTAAGTTCACAACTATTGTTTTTTTTATAAAAGGAGTGAGAAAGGCAATCTAGGTTGAAGCCAATGTCTAAATTACAAAACTTGAATAGTACATTTAAATAATAATTTTATTTATACTTATTTTTTGAATTTAAAAAATTGAAATTTGTATTTATATTTTACAGATGATGAATTACAAGTAAACGGTGAACCTGTAATCACAGTTCCTAATATTCCGCTTGTGGAAAGATTTGCTAGTAGATCAAATACTCCAATTGCTAGTACATCAAATACTCCAAATGCTTTAGTTGCAAAAAATGATATTGCACATTCGTCTCCTAAAAATATTAAATTAGTTAAATCGTTAGACGAATTATGTAAGTACAAAATATAAATAATAGAACAATAATAATAGTTTGTAGTTTCCAAAAATATAAAATTAAAATAATAAAAATTAATTAGCGTTTCAGAAACAATTATTAGAATTTATGGTTGAAATAAAGGAGTATAATATACAAATACTAGCTTTATTAAAAGAGAATAAATTACAAAAAGCGCCAGGTATTTTACCGTCTGATATACCAATACAATTTCCTATCGATACTCTACAACAGCTAGAAATTTTAGAGAATTATTTAAAGGAAGAGGACAAATTGAATGCTTTGGTAAATAGAAATTATTTGCTTATTAATTATTTTATCTAATTTTTTTATTTTAAAAATATTTCATTTAAAATCTACTTTTCAGGTTTTGTATTTGGCAAGTTTGGGTGGTAAAAACATAACTACTTTAACTAACAAAATAATGAAATTTTTATATACAGATAATTTAGCCACAAGGTTTTCTTTTTATGGGAAACGAGACAATAAACAACGATTTTCTGAATGTTTATTAAAAACAGCAGTTATTAGTAAGTACTTACTTTTATTTTTATTGACTTTAATACTAGAATTAACTGTCTGCACCAGGCTTTAGGCTGTGCAATTTTTGACCAATTCTTTCTTTTCCAGTTAATTTCGATTTGTGCTAGAGCTTTAGGTATTTTGTAATTCAATATGATCATTATTTATGAAAAGTTACAAAAATCTAAAACTCCAAGTGGAAATCCAAATTAATTGATAAAAAAAGAACTGTCAGATGGATTAGAAAGGATACAGCTGTAGTTCTAGTGATAATGTAATAAAAGATTACTAATAATTAAGATTATTAATTTTCAAAAATTTTTTGCAATATTATTGAAGATGCTGTAAAAAGCTGTTATTTTGATGCAACTGATCGCAACGTTGAAGATGTGTTGAAGATATGGTTAAAACATGCACCACAACGCGTCAAAAATTTAAATAAAAGTAAGAAATAATCTACTAATTCATAATAAAAGAGTGCTGTGAACATAAAATCCGAAGAAATAATATTAGTATATTTTTTAAGCATCAAAAGATTTAGGACTTAAAGTATTTAAGACTTATAAGGTAAATATACCAATTAGTGGACGAAATGATACTTTTAAATATTAAGTTTTTGATGATATATGTATATGATTCATAATAAATTCCTTATTGATTTTTTATATCATTTAGGAATTGTATTTTATAATTTATTCATATTAAAAATGAAACCTGTCTGTAAAAAAAATTTTGTTCTATAATTAGTACATTTACCTTATATCGGATTACAAAGCAATTTTTGATTCTTATTATTTCTATATTTTTACTTAGTTATTAACATGTTTCATAAAAAACCAAAATTAATTTATAAGAAGAATCCCTATGTGGGAAAACGCCAAATACGTAGAAGAGTAATGGCAATAGTAAATGACATGCTTGTTACGCTTAGTGAGAATAATCAAAACACCGAAAAAATCGATAATGTTTCTATTGATAATAATAATGGAGAAGTATATAAGAAAGATAATACTATTGATACCGTTGTGCATTGTAACTACAGTATGTCTAATGAAATTGATTTTAATTTTAAATATTTATTTAATAGTTCTAATATACTTGATAATAATAGTAATACATTTCATAGTACTTATAATACTCAATTAATTGAAAATATTCTTTTTGACAACGAATTACCTGTATCCATTGAAAATTATAAAATTTTATCTATTGATAATGACAATAATCTTTCCGATGAAAGTGACAATAATCGTTTCGATGTAGTTTCTAAATTACGAGAATGGGCTATAAAAGGAAATATACCACATGTTCGTGTTACAGAGCTATTACATTTGTTACGGCCTTTTCATCCAGAGTTACCACTTAGCAGCAAAACTCTATTACGTACTCCTTCCATAATGACATCAACAAAGCTAAATAATGGAGAATATTATCATTTTGGACTTTTAATAAATTTAGAAAGAATTTTAACTGAATATGACGATTCATCTTGTTATAAAGAAATTCAGTTACAAATTAACATTGATGGTTTACCACTTTTTCATAGTAGCAATATACAATTATGGCCGATTCTATGTTTATTAAAACATGTAATTAATAGCCCATTTCCAATAGGAATATTTTGTGGTACTTCAAAACCTGATCCTTTAGACATATATTTAAAAGATTTTATAAACGAACTCGAATTTTTAATACAAAGCGGCATAGAAATTAATGGAAAAAAATATAAAGTTGTATTACATAATTTTATTTGTGACGCTCCTGCACGAGCATATTTAAAGTGTGTAAAGTCACATACAGGATATTCAGCATGTGATAAATGTACTGAATATGGCGAATATGTAAACGGGCGTGTAATTTATCCGAATATAACAGCTACTAAGAGAACAAATATCTCATTTCGTTTGCAAACGGACGAAAATTATCACTTAGGTACTTCTCCATTAACAAAATTGTCAATAGATTTTATAAAATGTTTTCCCATTGACTATTTACATAACGTGTGTTTAGGAATTATGCGCAAATTGTTAACTACATGGATTAGTGGTCAACCATTGTCAATTAAATTAAGTAGCCATTTTTTTAAACAAATATCTAAACATTTACAACAATTAAGAATTTATATTCCTTTCGAAATTCATAGAAAACCACGAGGATTAGAAGATTTATCTCGATGGAAAGGAACTGAATTTAGAACTTTCTTATTGTATGTAGGACCAATTGTATTAAAAGATAATATTGATATAGCTGTTTATGAACATTTTTTACTCTTTCATGTTGGAATTTCTATACTAGTTTCTGATAAACATATTTCCGAGTTTTCTTTAAAATATGTTAAAAAGATTTTAACAACATTTATTCAACATTCAGAAAATATTTATGGTAGACAATTTTTAATTTATAATGTTCATTTATTGAGTCATTTAACTGACGACGTCGACATTTTCGGTCCTTTGGATGAATTTTCTACATTCCCTTTTGAAAATTATCTGGGTAAACTAAAAACATATGTAAAGAGTCCTACTAATCCCTTACAACAAATCTTTAGACGTTTAACAGAAAATTATGCTTTGCCATTAAATAAAATGAAATCTAACTTGCTAATAAAACTAAAGTATAGTCACAATTTAGGTCCGCTACATTTATCTATTTTACATACACACTGTAAACAATATAAGAAAGTAACTTTTCATGATATAATTTTCTCCATTGATTCAAGTGCTGACTGTTATTGTATGATTAAAGAAAATATCTTAATACGAATTTTAAATATTATTCAACAAAATGACAACATATTTTTCATCGGTAATGCATTTAAAGGTTGTGAACCATTATATAAATATCCTTTAGATTCGAGAAAGTTAAAAATTTGTATTTATCATACAATTTCAAATAAAATTAAAATTTGGCCACTAAATTTAATAATAGCTAAATGTATAGTGTTTCCATATTGCAAGAAATCTCAAAACTGTTGGGTTTCATTCCCATTAATTCATTCAATTCTATAGATTTCTAGTTATTTATCTATTGCCATTTCTCTGCATTTTATTATACATTCTTACCCTGCCTATACCGTAACAAAGATGTGCTGTTTTCGGAAGTCATAGAAAATATTATACGTTTTTTGCACGGAGCTGCGATGTAGCCAAATAATTTTAATTTTAATTAATCAGCTGTTTGTTGGATTATCTGTTGTATTGTGATTCATATTTTGAAAATAAGTGAAATAGTATTTTTTTTATTAATTCTTTTTATTGTTGCTGTCACCAATTTGACTGTTAGTTACGTAACGTGTCAATCACGTTTCGAACACCTTTCAGACATCGCTGCGACATAATATGTGACGAATTAGCACGTCACAATGATGTGCTTGCTACGTATGGTGTTGGCAGAGTAGTATTTAATACATTAAAGGCGTGTTCCGAAATTCACTGCCAGTACTGAAAATCTATAATATACGTAACGTAAACTATAGATTTTCAGTACTGGCAGTGAATTTCGGAACGCGACCTAAATATTCAATATTATATGTAAAGGATGTAAAAGACAAAATTTTATTTTGCTTTATAATTATTATTGTACCTATTCAAACATTTTTATTTCATGTTACAGTTTTTATAAATATACAGAGTGTTCAGTTACAGATCGGAGAAAATTTGTAAGCAGTGATTCTAGATGAGTAAGAGATTTAGATTCTTTTTATGTGTATATTTAAACATTTATAATTAAAAACAAAGCCTTAATCACAATTTTGTTATTCTCGATTTTCGTCTTATCATCTATAATAGAATCAGTCCTTAAATTATCTTCCACCTGTAGCCAAACATCCTACATATTTTTATATTTTGTAAGTATATATGTGCAAAAAATAATTTGTTTGTTTTATGTAAAGAATACTTACAATATTTAATGTGTAATAATTTTTTATAGTAATGTTATATTTACAGTAATATAATGTATAAGAAGGTATAATGTATAATGTATAAAATAATGTATAAAAGGCAACAATATATAATAATATATTATATCACTGTAATAATATATTATACAGTTGATATAATATATAATAATATATTATATCACTGTAATAATATATTATACAGTTGATATAATATATAATAATATATTATATCAACTGTAATAGCAATAAAGGAGTATAAATAACTTGTATCGAGTATCTTAATGTATTGATTATATTAATTGTGATCAAATCAATAATAATCCAATATCATTATTTAATATTAACAAGTTGTACAAATGACATCTATACGAAAATATAATACGAAAATATAATAAATTAATCACATGAAAATAACGTTAATAACATAACATAAAAATTAATAATATGAAAATAATAACGCATTTTTTATCAATATAAAACGTAATATATACACAGTATGTTTGAAAAGTCCCCGAACTGATTTTTTCTTGAAGACAAGTGGAGTACATGTATAAGCCAATGGCTGAAATAGTAAGCCTTTTCTCTAACACATTCAAATTCATCAATATCAGATTAATAATTAATAAGTCCTTATTTCGTTTGCGTTTTGTTTTGTGAGTTTTTATGTGCGGTTACAGAAAGACAAGCGTTTTATCAAGAAAGAATTTTTAATTATAACAATGTAAGGCAGGTGGCTGTGTATGTGTTTTTATTTGTGAATCGTATATGAAAATGTTTTGCCACCAGTTACAATTATTTTATTTTTTAAAATTCTTTCTTGATACGTTCATTGTTCAATAACAAAATTTTAACTGCATATAAAAACTTGCAAAACAAAACAGCGTCAGAATTCGCTAATTATTAATGAAATTTGAATATATTAGACACAAAACTTCATACAAACTATGGGTCTGCTTTCTGTCCTTGCACTGTT